AGGAGCTGTTAGATGAAGCGGAAAACGCGTTAGACAAATCTGTAAATGTTCTTTACGCTCCAGAATTTGTTAAATACCTTTTGAATAGTCATATGGCATTTCTTCCACTCTGGACAGGAATTCTAATGGATTTGATCGACCCAAGAATATCTCGAGTATCTAACGCATACATAGAATCTCACATGAAAGGTTACAAAGAGGAAATTTTACTGGATAGGAGGAATTGGTCCATCGCTGACGTGATTCGAGCGTTAGAAACAAATGTAAGATGTTTAATTGCCAAGGAAGAAATTTACAAAATTTGTCAAGTAGAAAATCAAAATCTTAAGTACCCTCTGTACAAAGATCCCGCAGCTGATCCAAAAACCGAATCTGAATGGGCGAAAACGTGGAAAGAAAAAGAAGAGATAAGAATAAGAAAGGATCGTAGTAGGCATATGTCCATGAATTATATCTCAAAAATGTCAACGGATCGATCAAAGAAGTCCTAAAAAAAAATCTGAAAAACAGTTGACCTTGCAGGCCATCTTAAAAAATTTTTGCTACATTCGACCTGAAAATTCTTGGAAATTGAGATTGACAAATTTTTAAGCTCTTCGAGCTCAAAAATACGCCTTCTATGCTATTTCCAGCTCGAAAATTTAGTAGATGCATTGGTAGAATTTTTTTTTTAATTTAGACCGGCAAAATCTCATAAAAGAATCAACCGATGTTGATGCGATTTGCGGAATTAAATGCAGTTTAATAAACACTTAAAGATAATATCTTACTTCAAAAGTGTTTTTCAAATCTAACTCGTAAATTTTTATTCAAATATAGATAATTCTGCAGTCAAAATAAATAATATCAAAATTCATTATAAGCTCATCTCTAATTTTCAATAACTTTCAAAAGATCAAATTTATCGAAAAATCATAGATCTTTTTTTTTAACGCTCAATTCCTACGAGAGTATGTATCTTTATTGCTACACTAGATTTGATTGTTTAGAAGGAAATAATCAAATGTGAACAGTCGCAAAATTCTATGTTATTGAAATAAGAAATATATCTTCGAAAAGTCACGGTCTAATAAGAAGATTGAGAGCTTACTTTGGTCTTATATTTTTAACTTCCCGCTATGAAAATCAATGATTTTCAAAAAATCGGGAAGATATTGGTTTCACCCCGGTTTTCGAAAATCGAGTTCTCATCAAATCTCTACGTTCTAAGGTCCTAAAAAGCTATTCTGACTATTTCTACGAGGATATCCCTTTACGCACATGTGTGTGTGTGTATGTGTGTGTGTGTGTGTGTGTGTGTGTGTGTGTGTGTGTGTGTGTGTGTGTGTGTGTGTGTGTGTGTGTGTGTGTGTGTGTGTGTGTTTGTGTGTGTGCACAGAAAGAAAAATTTCTTGACTGGAGAACAAAATTCTTGGCTCAAGAAAATTTTTGGGTGCCTGAAAGAAGACCGAAGTTGTGTTGGCCGAAGTAAAAATTTTTCTTGAAATTCTATTCTTGGTGAAAGTAATTTATTCTTAATTCAAATTATCATAGATACTTCATACAATAAATTTTTAAATTTGATCAAGATTATTCTATTTCATTGTTAAGTTACGTTACCGAAATATCACAAGTTTATATTAAAAGTGCTTATTTTGTGTAATAAAGTTAAGTTTATTGTAATTACCGCTATACACAGAGTGTATTATTATTTATTTATATTACAAATCATTACTGAAAATACCACTGTCTTTCTACTACGATTATTTATATTCAATTAAAATTTTCGAATTTTCGAAATATCTTCGAGCTCAAAAATATATTTTATGTATTATTTTGAGCTATCCGAGCTCAAGGAGTTATCTGTTCTAAACTTTTGAGCTCTTTGAGCTCAAAAGTCTGATAAAAGTTTAATAAAACGAATATCAGTTAATAATATCAGTATATCATTTATCTTATAAGATCAATTTTATAATAATGTAATAATTTTTTCATTCACTGTGCCTCTTGTTCAAAACTTTAGTTCATAATTTACATATATTTAAAATTTATAATTGTAAAATTTTCTTATGTACTTCGCCTTTAGTTCATAACTTATACTAAGTTCATTAAACTTTGTATAAATTGTCTTGTGACCCTGTTATTGGCCTTCCACCTGTTGGGTCTATTATTACTAAATACATAAATAAATAAATAAATAAATAAAACACTATTATTTAAATTTTCAAACGGTTATTTCACTGTTAATTAAATTTTACTTTTGAATGAATAAACCGATTTTCACGCAGATGGCAGCATTCGACGCAGTTTTTTTAAATTCTATGATATACTTATAAACACAAATTGATCAGATCGGAAATTCCGGTGTAATTCGAAAAAATCACTTTTTTTCATAAACGATAACTCACGAAGGAATCAACTGATTTTGACCGGCTTGACGGCAATCGACGTAGTTTTTTTATGTTAAGAGCTGAATAGTTTTTGGAATCGATCAAGAAAGCCATTTAGAAGTTATTCCAAAAAACCCACATGTGAAAAAAATTTTTTTCGTAGTTTTTTTGAGATTTCTCAAAATCTACTGGTTAAAAGTTAGGCGAGGTACGCACACAAATACAGACACCATCGCGGAAATAGTCAGGGAAGCTTACTAGGACCTTAAAGCGTCGAGATCTGATGAAAACTCGATTTTCGAAAAACGGGGTAAAAAAATAACTTCCCGATTTTCGAAAATTTTCAATTTTCTTAGCAGAAAGTAAAAAAAATAAACCAAATAGTTTAACCATGAATATAAATATAAATGAAATTATCGAGCTCGTAGAAATGCGTCCGGTTTTATCAGTAGTCCGCCCTTCTTCGCTTTATAATAAGTTTAAGATTTTTCATATTTTGTGCCAACAACCCAGTAATTATTTTCTGATTGAAAACTTAATATTGGTCAATATTAAATTTTCAAAGTGTGTAAAAATTATCGGACTTTTGAAGGTTTTTTTAGTTACACGGTGAGAAATTTCTGTAGAAATTTACTATGCATACATAATAAGACTGAACCTTAATGACTCAAATCAAAATATTACCATAAAAATTTAAGAATATCATATTGTACCAATCAATATTTACTAGGGACCATAGTAAATTTGACCATGTAACTGTTACATAAACATATATAAAAAATTTTCGTAAACTGACTGAACAAAAACTGTGAGTGTGCTTAAAACTTTTCATTATAGTTCCATAGTAAAATGTCTGTTGTTCAGTCGACAATAAAAATTTATAAAAAAAATTTGACATTTAGTCACGTGTACTCGGTTTAAACTTAAAATTGTGACTATGAAATTTTCAAATGTCCCATAGTAAACGTATGCGCGTCAGTCGCGACGCACGCTCTTTCATTTTTTCGTGCTGCTTTGTTGTAAGATTCCTAAATAATAAAATATTTAACAATTTAACGTGAAAAATTAAGATGAAAACAAACATTCGATGGTTAACCTGCAACCGACACTTTTCTAATAATATATTATTATTATAATAAAAAATAATTTAAAAGTTATACATTGTGTTTATAATTATTTATAATAAAATTAACTGCCAAAATAAATCCTACGTTCAAATTAAAAATAAAAAACAAATAAAAAAAACTATATTTTAAAAAAATATTTTTAAAAATTATTACAAACAAAAAAAAATCTTGTTTGGTTTGATATTTTTTTTGATTGCTAAAAATATTTTTTACTCTAAAATTTTTTATTTTTTACAAACATTTTCTTATTTTTTTTGCTACAGTACATTCGGAAATTTAAATTATTGCATATTTCATTTCACTATGGTACATTTTAATTTCTACCGTTTGCTATGTCTGATTTCAAAACAAATTCGGAAATTACTATGGACCATTGTAAAATTTTATTCTGAGTCAATAAGATTCACTAGTAATATGCACCATTGTAAAATTAAAAATCCATGCAGAATAAAAAATAATAGAAATTTCTCACCGTGAAGAAATTATTCTCAATTCAAGAATTTTTCCTCTTGACACAAGAAAATTATTTTCTTCAAAATGGTATTCTTGATTCAAGATTTTTTCTTTTGAATCAAGTTAAATTTTTTATCAGTGTTGTTTTATATGAAAGACAATAATGATAGGAATAAACACTGACATTGTTCGGATCATTTAATTTTACGTACAACGTTCTATATCGATACGTTATAAACTGTCATTTTTAATGATTTAATGAACTTGATAATGTTACGATTATTTCATAATTTTTTTTTCATAAATTACAAAGGACGATGCTTTCATACAACACCAAGCCTCACAAAAAAATTAAACTGACAGTACATAATTTTAAATTAAAACATTTTCAGTTTAGGAAACAACGAAAGTAGTTTTTTTATTTAAAAAAATAATGAATCAAAACAATTACGAAGTTTGCTCTTTTGGTTTACCAATGATTCAATTCTCCACAGGATATGATGTAGTCCATGAAACGGAGATGGAGAAACGTGAGAGTTAGTTCAAACGCCGCGGGAGTGATGCAGCTGCTGTCTGATTAGTAACCTTTACTTCGAGAGTATTGAACGATTTATAAGAACAATTGTTAGAAAACACCCATTAAAATTGTAATTTTTTACCAATAAGAATTTACATCAATTATAAACTGTATAAAATTACATATATTTAAATATAATTATGTATAAGAATATATAATAATGTGATGTTATGCATAATTAAATATAATCATATAAAGTCCCTTGATAATCATTAAATAAACTTATATATAACTATATGACATTATAGATAATTATATAAAATTATGTAATACTTTTTTTCCCGGGATAAGAATCTTTATTACGTATATATTCCTAAATCCCTGCATGCAATAACATGCAGTATTATCCAGGAATTTTAAAATTAGATTCTTGCCGTAATATCTATCGATTAAATACCTTACTATGTCTATCATTGATTTAAGTTTAATCTTGATAAATTTCATTCTATTTCAACCAATATGTCTTTTATTAATACAAGAACATACGAATCATTAATCATCACATTACTATTAAATTTTAGATGCAGTTTTCACTTGTCCAAAAAAAGACGGTCAGTACGAAGATCCTGTACAATGTGATAAATACTATGATTGCGAAGATGGTATTGCAACAGAAAAGTTATGCCCAGATGGACTGGTTTTTGATCCATTAAATCGTAAGATAAATAAATGTGATCAACCTTTTAATGTTGAGTGTGGGGATCGTACAGAATTACGTAAGTGAAAGTTAATCAATATGAAACAATTCGTTTAATAACTTCATCTTTAATTATTTTAGAACCTCCTCAGCCAAATAAGAAATGTCCCAGGAAAAATGGATTTTTTCCTCACCCAGATAACTCAATTTGCGATGTCTTTTATAATTGCATAGATGGAGAGTCAGTCGAAATCACTTGTACAACTGGCTTGCATTTTGATGAATACTCTGGTATATGTGTGTGGCCAGATAGTGCTAATCGTCAGGTTGTTATTAATAGCAATATTTTTTATATGCATTTTAGTAATTCTGTTTTATAAGTAATCCAAACTAAAAAAAAAGAATAACCAAAAAATTAAATCAATCTCAAGGATTATATTGATTGTACGTTTATTAGTAATTTTTTTTATAGAAAAGTTGATTTATTTGAATATATGATGGGTCCTGAAACAAGGCAGTTTTACGCGCGAACACTAACTATTTATTCATCATTTTGTTATTTTTTTTCAATGGTTGAATTTAAAAATGAAAGAATCAATTTTTGAAGGACTATCCTTTACATACTCCTGCCAAGTTTCATGATTTTTTTTTCAATAGTTACATTTATAAATCATGAAATTATTTTATTTCATGATGCGTCACTAAATTGAAGTACATTTAATCGTAATTATTACGTATCATTCATCATTATTTTGATTTAGATTTCACAATTTTTCGAAATTTAATATGAATTTCTTGTGGAATATAATTTATTTTTTATGCCATTAGGGCTGTGGGGCAGTTAATAAAACTCTTAAAGATGGTTTTGAGTGTCCAAAAGAGCAACAAATTGATGACAGAGGTCAGGTTGTCGATCATCCAAAATATGCTCATCCTGAAGATTGTCAAAAATTTTACGTTTGCTTAAATGGAGATACTCCTCGCGAGCAAGGTTGTAGTGATGGCACTGTATACAATGAAGGTCAGCAAAGATGTGATGTACCAGAAAATGTACCAGGATGGTAAGATAAAAAAAAACTTTCTAGTCTAAAACTTATGTACGTCAAGCTATCATTCATTATTTTTTTTTTTTTTTTTTTTTTTAGTGAGGATTGGTACAAAACAGATGAAAAAAAGGCTTAAATTGATTTACACCAACTATTCACTATTGGATGATATTTTCCATGTGTAACTCTATCATCGATACAAATTGGCAAACATAAATTTCATCCTTAAATAATATAATTTTATTCGATAGATTTAGTGTGACTTGAATACATCTTAGAACTAAGATAAATTGATCGCATAAAGTTGTGGAGTACTATTATATACACACTAAGCTTAGAAATGGATATATTATTAAACTATGTATTTATATGACATGCATTAGATCTTAATTTAGGTAAACATTTTTTTTTTAATATTACTGAACTGAACCTAATGACTGTAGACAAGTAAAAGATATCAATAAATACTCAATGATAATTCTTTTACAATGATTTGCAAAACAATCTCTTCGAAAATTGAAAAGTTATTATTTTCCTCTTGTTTTCCAAAAATCAAATTTTCATTACGTTCGGAAGTCTTAGAAAACCCTGAAACGGGTGGTTTATTCCCGCACTTTAGCCCCTGATTAAATTTAAATAATAACAATATATTAACGACATACTCTAATACTATTCAGGGCAACACCAGGTTTATTTTCTCGGTTCCTGGAACCGGATGCCAGAGCTGAGCTTATTAATCTACAGGGAGAGAGAGAATGGAGGAAGGTATGCTGAAAATAATTAAATCTTTATTTAAACAACGGATCCAAAATTTATTCAACAATAAAATAAAACAAGTTAACAACTCGTGCACTTGCACGTACTCCCAACTCACTTACAACTATCTCACTTACAACTATCTTAATACTACGACTTATAACTACTCTCCTCAACTCAACTAAACGCTAGTCAACCTTAATCCTTCTCCACAACTCCACACTACCGCTTATGACTAATTGAGGATTTCGGGCTAAAACCGGCGCCTCAAATCGATGCTAGTCCTCTGCTCGGCAATTCATCAACAAGCAGAAAATGTCGCACCAAGTCCAGATTACCCTACTCGGCAATTCATCAACAAGTAGGGGTCGTCAAGAAAAGGTTCCTAATCCCACAGTACCCTCATAAGGAGCGACTATACTGCAGTTTCTAGCTTACTGCCGCTGTACCCCACTTGGCGTCTATACAACGGCTTCTATAGGACTGTACGAATTACTCTACTCGGCAATTCATCAACAAGTAGAGAACACGTACAATCGCACACACTTAACCCGCACGATCTCCACACACATAACCCGCTCACACACACACTGACTCTACTTTACTTTTCATTTCCGGATTTACAACAATTAACTCCAAAAATTTACAACGTTAATTTTTCACTAAAATTACTCAGTCATTAGCTCGCGATAAAACTCTATAAATTATTCTCACAAATTAACAATTTTTACTTCTATAGCTTTTTCCAACTTTACGATTGTAAATAATTACCATTGCCTACTGATAGATTTTATATGTGAACGAATTGTCACTGTTTCTCCACGAAAATTAACAACTGTACCACGTTTATAAACAATTTTCGATTGGAGGTTATGTATTGCTCGTACGGTGACTGGAAGGTAAATGACATGTGCTGGTACCTCATTGATCTTATATCCTGGTGGAACTATTGGAAAAAACTCGTGAATCGTGCGCACTTTGCGTACGTTTATGTATGCACCTGACGTTATATTGCATTCAACTCTCAATGCATTGATACTGAGAATTGAAACAGGCAAATCTGATTGATGTATGACATTTTTTTTCAATTTTCTTGCAGAAAATCCCAATAGACGTCCAATAGAGTTTTCTGGCATAAAATAAATTTGATGGTTGCACTTTATTCGACATCGAAGTTCATTGTTATTTGGTTTCAAACTTAGAGAGACATCTGGTAGTAGTTCTGTCAAGTAAGTTTCAATATCTTCTATTTCATAACTTCCTGTTGGTATTGTTATTTGTTTATCCTTGTCATTGAATTAAGGTCATACATAATTTTAAGGCACATAATTTTTAGAACTTGACAATTCGATTGGTGGAAAGTAGTTTGCCTCCAAGATGGAGGACTCTCCTGACAGTGTCAATGTAAACGAATCATCCATGACTGATTGCTTTTTCAATTTTAGGTTCTATTTATAGCTTTCCACTGAGAAATTCCAAACACAGATGGCCACATATTACAGTATTGTACTCTTGATATCGCTTATGATTGTATTTTACGCTACCAACATCGAAATATTGCATTAAATCTTGAGGTGGTTGAAGATCTCCAAAACTGTCAAAATAAATGACCTGATTTCCAGACTTTTTATACGCCACCCAGTGAGTTCCAGGACCATCTTTATCATCAAGGTTTACAATTGCAGATTCTTTGATTCTTGGTCCTGACTCGGGTAAAGCATTTCTCATGAAAACACCTCGAAAGTGTGGAATTTTCATTATTTTAGCATATCTCTTGTAACGGGGGTTTTTTATTCCCGCCGTTCAATAGCAGCCTAATTTGTTAATTAGATGTTAACTACCAACACCACGAGATTATTATTATTAGATGTTAAATTTAAGGCGCCACCAGGTTGTTACAACGGTATCCTGGAAACCGTAAGAACATGAGAGATAATCTACAGGGTAGAGAGATTTAGGAAATTATCTGGAAATAAATAAAATCAATAATTCGTGGTTACCAAATATTTATTTAACAAAATCACACTCACACGCACACTATAAATTCCATTGCCAAATTTCCATAAAATAATTCCTTAATTAATACCCGCGAAACAGACGGGAAACCGTACCATAATTCACGGGTGCGAGGACCACGTGACCTCCAATTATTTACCAGTACTCCGAATTACCAATAACCAATTTTATAATAAACTTCTGATATAGAGGGAAAGTCGTACCATGTATCAGGAGTTATTTATACACGATCTCACTCTCTATCACTCATAACCCAACCAAAACTTATTGAAATTAACTATAAATTATCTAACCGAATTAATAAAATTATCCGGTGACTATTTTCAACACAATAGAATTACATGACGCCAGTAAACGTGACCTTGTGATTTTAGACGCGCAGTTAAAACGTACTGCGTAGTAACAAAACTAATTCACCACTTCTTATAAAATTTTACAATAAACGATCCATAAATTAACTTTAATTAACCGAATATTATTAATAAATAATTATACTCAACCGGAATTTATCAATAATTAATTAAATTAATTTATAACACTGACTATAAAATGGCGCGTAATTATCTTAACACCAAATCCGTCTCAAGGTTAACTAATATTTCCCGGGTGTCGGACCACAGGATTTTCTAACGACTTTAATAAAACCCAATAATTATTTTAATTTAATAAAACCCAATTGAAATAATTAAACCTTGTCCAGAAGAGTAAATAAGACCGGGTGCTAACCACAGTCGAATTTTTGCCCACGAGACTTGACAAAGTACCTTGCAATGGACGAGCTGCTTCCCGCCAACTTCCAGCTACGGCTTGGGTCTGCTGCCGCCTCGTCGTTGCTCGTACTCTCGGGGATTTTGCACTCCTTCAACCGCAACAATTATTCCTAGACGTACCAAATAGGATTAGTATATTGTAAATTTATTAATTGGAACAATTAATAAATATTTAACATCGCTTGCGTTCCAATTAAGTGAACGTGCGACTGGATATTTACCTGAGTTTGCTATTTGTGTCCGGAACGTTCGGTAGTACAACCTCTTCTCTCCGTTGGCACGCCGGTCGCCCCTCGCTTGCACTCGGCTCCCGGCACATCGTCACTCTCCCCACTACCTAAAATGCCCGAAGATCGAGACGCACCAGTGCTGCGTCGCACCATTATCGATATCTGGTAAATTATCGATGCAGGGTATATTTTACCCTGTTACACTCTTTATATCGATATCAGTCAGAGCTCGATATGGTAGCTTTATGTGTTTTTTGGATGAGGTCGTAAGTACAGACCCACTTTTTCTTGTTTGACTTTTCAATTTTGATTGTATAACTGAACCTCAAAAGAAAATAAAAAAACGACACGGTAAATTAATGCCCAATAGTGTAAGAGCAGTTTTTTGTGGTCCGTCAAATTGTGGTAAGACCAATGCACTATTGACATTGATCACTCATGAAAACGGTTTGAGATTTGAAAATATTTATCTATATTCCAAATCTCTTAATCAGCCAAAGTATAAATTTTTGGAAAATTTACTTAAGTCAATAAAAGGTGTTGGGTACTATCCTTACAATGATAATGAGCAGGTTGTCAAACCTGACGAAGCTCAACCTAACTCAGTTATGATATTTGATGACGAAGCATGTGAAAAACAAAATCATATTAGAGCATATTTTTGTATGGGACGCCACAAAGATGTTGACAGCTTCTATCTTTGTCAAACTTATGCTCGTATTCCAAAGCATCTGGTGCGAGACAACGCAAACCTGCTTATAATCTTTCGTCAAGATGAAATGAACCTTAAGCACATCTACGACGATCACGTCAACACAGATATGACGTATCAACAATTTCGAGAAATGTGTAATGCTTGTTGGAATCACGATAAATTTAGTTTCATTATGATTGATAAAGACAGTGAACTCAACGGTGGACGATACAGGAAGGGATTTGATACTTTTATAAGTAAACGTGATGACTGAATATTGTTCAGTTACATTTTGATCTTTAAGCTATCAACATGAAGAGTGAAAAATTACGTGAACAGAGTGACATTTTGAGGCAAATAGCTAAGGCGAGTGAAATAATTCGTCGAAAGCATAAACTTATGAAATTAAACAAAGACAATAATGAACAAGCTGCAAATGAAATTTTTAAACCCGTAGTGAAACCTTTGCAACAATTATTGGATTCCTCGAATCAAATAAAAGAAGGAATGACAGCTGATACATTCAACACAACATCATTACAAAAAGTAAAATAGAATTCAACAACAACAACAACAACAACAACAACAGATGATGATGATATTTCTAGTGAAGAAGATACTACTTTTATCAGAGATGATAAAAAAGATTCATTATCAAAATATTTAAGATTATTAAAAACAAAACATAAAAAATTGGATATGCACACTGGTGTGCGAAA